AGCTTAGTAAGGACCTATGTCATTTCCAGATTTACCAAAACCATTACAGTATTGAGTGAATGGGGTCGAGGATTATTGTGGTTGTGATTGTGAAACTTATATGTGATGAATATGTAAAAAAAAAAAAGATAGAATTTCTTTAATAGAAATAAGAAAATAAAAGTTAAATAAAAGATAATAATATAATACTAAAGAGAGAGAAGAATATAAAATGGAATATATTTTTTTGGTAAAAAAATATAGTAATTGTTGGAGCAATTTTACTCCATTTTCTCCTCCAAAATGGAGTAAACGCCAAAATGGAGTAAAGTTACTCCAACCTTTACTCTATTTTTTACTCAAAAAAGAATATTCCGTTTCATATTCTTTTCTATTTTTAATATTATATTATTATCTTTTATTTAATAAAGAAAATTGTCGTACAAAATTCGACCAAAGCTACAATTTACATATAACTTATATACACTTGTATATAATTTTTAATGCAGAATCAGGTGAAAAATCTATAATTTTACATACAACTTACATATAAATCTGTATTCAATTATGTTAGTTGTATATATTTTGTATGTTGTTTGTACACTCGGCATATAAAATATATACAATTTATTTATATTTTCTTTGAGTTTCAATCTGAAATTCCAACAAACTCAACCAGAATCTTCACCAAATTCACTCATAATTGAGATATAATTTCTAAGGAATATTGCAATCATCATTTGCAAAAACTCAACCAAACAAATAATAATTTTACAAAATTTGATTTTTGAATTTAAAGTTTCAAATTTTTTTAATGTCTATCAATAGAGATTTTTATTAGTTGTCATTTTTCTACTGTTTCAAAATAACTAACCCAACAATTTCTTCTCTATTACATCGGTGGCCAGAGTCCTCTCAATCCGTTAAGAGGTCTATTTCTTTCGCAGGTCTGTTCATTCATTCTTTCCCTTCAAACTTTTTTATTTTTTATTTTTTGTTATTGCTATGTTTTTTAAGAGAAATTAGATGCTGAATGAAATTTGACTGGTGCAGAGTTGATGGAGAAAGAATTGTATGGGTAAATAGTTTATACTGTAGTATAGATAAGTAAATGTGATGATCCAGTCATCAAAATGAAATAGCGAGATCAAGTTAGCGGATAAACATAATACGACTGGCTATCTTTTTTTATTGGTTGTAAATACGAATACTTTATTAAAAACGATGTAACATTACATAGGACTCTCTCAGCCATCCCATTGGGATCGAAACTGAGAGAGTTTACAAAAGTACTAGAGTTTTGCACAGCATTAATGTTCCCCATATGTAAGGCCCCGTGAATTTCCTACTCAGAACCCCGAATCCTGTGGTGCCAAGTGAGGATCATGCGTTAGAGATGCGTAAAATTCTCCGCGGCGAGCTTGCGAGCCGCTATTCGGACCTTTTTGGACTGATCTATGATATAAAAAGTCAAGAAATAATATTTTCCAGAAAATGCGCTTCTGCGGTCGCATATCAGGTATGCGGACCGCATAATTGCCGCAAAGTGAGTCAGTGTGTTGGTCAAATTTGAGGTCAACTATGCGGTCAAGTATGTGATCGCATAACCGATATACGGACCACTTAGTCGTCGCACATTTCCCTTGGGATTTTGTGAGGGGCAGTTCTGCGGTGCATTATGCGACCGCAGAACGGGTATGTGGACCGCATTTCTGCCGCATACCCAGGCAGTGTGTTCGGATTTTGGGAGCACTTTTGCGGTCCATTCTGCAGGCCGCATTTCCACTTTGCGATCACATCTGACTCAGGGCTCCAATTTTCTAAATTTTAAACCCGACCCCTTATCGATATAACGGTATTATAGCTCATTTTGAGGATATTTCCTGATGCTTTTAGAGAGAGAGAAAGGGTCTTAGCGAGGGAAGTGTTTCCCATCAAATTACTCCATGAAACCTTGCTAAATCTTTGACGATAATCAAGTGAGGGCACCTAAATCTTCATCCCAAGAGGCAAGACTTCATTACCTCAGCTCTTATTCCTATGCTTAGCAATAAGGGATCACTAGTGAAGTAATTCATGGGTATAAGAATGAATTTCTTGCATGCATATCACACCATAAAATATTGGGAGGTAGTGAACTGAAAAAGACAGCAATTGGGGTATAAAATGATAGAAATTTCTCTCAAAAGGGCCTAAGATCACAATGCACCTTTAGTGTTTGATAGTATGCTCAAAACAAGCTAGAATCTCAATCTCGTCTCTAATTCTCGATTTAATTTGTAATTCTTACACAATAGATCGAAGTGCTAAAAGTTCCGGAATTTTGTAAGGAATAAGGAAAGCTTTATTGAGGTATGTATGGCTAAAAACCCGTCTTTTAGAAATTGAGCTTCATCGGTGTTTGTGTGGGCATGGCAAGATTAAAGTTGAATTGTTGCATTGCTTACTATGTGTGTGAAAAATGTGTCCCAACATAATCAACGTGCTATCTTGACAGCTTGAAAGGGGCAAAGGTATGAATTATGTGTTGGAAATGTTTAGACCTTAAATTGAGATTGCAGCTGAATATATTGTGCTATCTACGTGAAATCTTATCTATGTTTACAATTTAAATTGCTCTTGTGTGCACCTACTGTCCTAACTGGCAAAGCTAATATTGAAAATTGGGAACGATGTAAAATGCGGCCTAGTGCCAAGAATGATTTGATAAGTCGTGGCCCCAAGTGCCTATGAAATGATATATGAGAAATGAATTGATTTATGAGAAGGGAAGAATGCCTTGATGAGGTGACTTAGCCGATCGGGTCGAGATCGGACTCCGCTCAAGATAGCGGTGGTATTAGAAAGGTATTGTGAATGAATTCCGGGAAAGAAGGAAAATGAAATTGTGATTGAAGCATATGTCTCAAATGAGGCAACCTAGCCGATCGGGTCGAGATCGGACTCCGCTCAAGATAGCGGTGGTATTGTGAACAAATAATGAATAGTGTGAAATTCCCCTAACTAAAAGCTATGGGAAAATGATGTGAAAGTTGTATGATTCTTTTATTTGATAATGTGGTGATCGTTTAAAGTTTTTTTATACTTGTGATTTCTTATTCTTGTATGAAAGTTCTTTCTAATTTGATGGTGTTTAGTTATACATACTAGTGCTATTCAATGGCACTAACGTCCCTTTTGCCGGAGGCGCTATATTTTTTAAATGAATGTAGGTGGCTCCATAGCAGATAGTGTCGATCGTGTGTAGCGGAGCATCCTCTTCTCAAACTCTTGGTGAGCCCCTTCCTCCTTCAAGGGGTTTTGTGACATGCCTTTTGTTATAGATGTCTCTTTTGAGGTATAGTCGGGGCCTTGTCGTCGGCGTTGTTATCGCTGTCTTGGGTATCCTTAGAGGCTCCGTAGACATATGTGTGGGTTATGTACGGGCGTTGGATAGGTCTACTAACTATGATGTAATTCAAATTCTCGTTTTGCTAAAGTGTAATTGTATGTAATCTTGGGAACTTAATTACGGATTAATGTTGTGATATAAAATGAACTAACTTTGTAGAATGCACTATCTTTCCTCATCTAAGCAAATGAATGAAAGCATGGTTTCCTTATTCGTATCGAGTTGGGTAGGAAGTGTTTGATAAGGCTTGCTCAGTTGGGTTTACTCGATTGAGCGTCGGTCGCGCCTGCCGAGGTTGGGGCGTGACACCATACTAACCAATCTATTACAAACTTCTTCCGATATTGACCTAAAGTACTGTCTTCCAACAACATCATTCTTCAAAGCTGCCTCCACCGGCTGGGTAGGTGCATGATGAATGACTGTTTTATTTATGGACTTTAGCTTCTTACTGTCCTTTGCCAAAAGATGAGCTACTGAATTTGCTTCTCGGAAGTTATGTCTGAGCAATTGTGTTCCCAGTTGTGCCATTAACCACCTGCATGAGGAGATAAGATGATCATAAATTTTGTGATCTTTGTCAAAAAGAGATATTACCTCGGTGGAATCCGTTTCTATTTCCATAGGATGAAGCTTGAATTGGACCGCAACTCTAAGACCTGTTTCTAGTGCAAGGAGTTCAGTATGAGTGTTGCTTATGGCTTTAGTTGGTTTTTGGTATCCCACTATCCATTTGCCATGGTTGTTACGTATGACTCCTCCCAAACCACTATGTTGGTGTTATTGGTGTAAGCACTGAATACGACTGGCTATCAAGTTTTGCATTTCAAGTTCTTTTTAATGTTTGAAGTCAACTCTCAAAATGCAGTCTACTGTTGGCACTAAGAAAATGTAATACATCAAAAATTGAGTGTTATCTCACATGTAGAACTATTATAATGTATCTCATATGTGGAAACCTTCTTGATTCGGATTTAGCTCTAATACTTCGTATAGTTTTAAGAACAAATTCAGAAAAGCTGAGGTGGCCCCATAGCTAGTTGATTATGAACCAAATAGAAAAATATATCATTCACAATATTATCTAATAAATTATCGTTGCGTAAGAATGATGGAAAGAAGAACAAGGAAGAAATACTTTTTTCCGAATGTAGATAAGTGGCTTCTTACCCTTTAATATTGACTTAGGAGTCATAGAATTTTCTCATTCGCTCATTGGTTTGATCATTTCACTAATTGTGCAATGGAAGTATGTAAAGGATCTGCTATTAGATATATCTGCTTCTCCTAGTTTAAGGAGAATCATTTCAATGATATTTAGAGCTATTTTCCGGGTAAAACTTAACCTGACATCAGATTTAGACAATGCTGCAAAACTCTTTGTAAATGCTGAAAATCATAGGCATAACCTGTTAAATTTGGACTCCATTCAGGTATTTGAATTATAGTCCTACTGCACAGTTTATGGCAGTATTCATACACAGTCCATATATAATATAATATAATATAATATAGAGAGAAAGAGACATGACATTGATGTATAATCAGTCGCTTGAAGATTGTATATTTCTAACATAACTACAAAACTGTGTATATACAATTTACAGTATATGGAATAACAACTTCCAGATTAGCAGGAGAAAACATTGAGTAGCGAGCTTCTAGATCTAATCAGGCATCTAAATGTTGCTTCCAATCCATCTTCGAAGCTGACAAGATAAGTCTCAAAGCTTTCGAGCCTGGTTTCTAAGCTCATGTTTTCTTCTAAGACAAGTGATGCTATTCTTTCTTTGTTTACCAATCTTGAAAGCAGTGACCATTTAGATGGCTTAGGCTTCAAAAGTGGTACACACAAGAAGGACAAGAGCATTTGGAAAGTTGAAATGCATTCTGCATTAGCTTCTTTTAGTGCTCTAATCACAGCTATTGTATCTTGATCTGCATCTAGCAAAGCAGATACTGTAGTGTCTTGATCCATTTGTTTCAAGGTCAATACTAATCTTTTGGCACCCCTCTTGATCTTCTTGCTGAAAGCGGTAAATCTGGTAACGTTGCCATCTGTGGTTGAATCTCCTTTTCTCCTCCTGAGGGAGGATTGGAGATCTCTTACATTTTCTTTGCATTGTGATACAAGTTCCCTTGCAGTGCCACACAGATCAAGAAGCCTCATTGATTTATCCATTAGATCTTCAACACATTTTGCATGTAGACTCTGGGAGAGGGCATGACGGGTTTGAGGCAAGTTGAGAAGATCATCTATGCACTTGTACAATTTCTCCAAACCTTTTAGACCATTGGTCACTGTTGTTGGTGCAACAGATACTTCCAATGATTTGAGCTTGTTTAGCTCCTCTTCAACTCTCTGGATGGTAGGGTGTGATCTCCCAGGCAAACTGATTGATCGAACGTGATTGGATTTTGAAGAAAGTGAAGCCATTTCTTATGGTTTTCTTTCAGATTAGGGAATTTCGCAAAGTTTTGATGGAATTTAATTTTGAGACTTGGTATTTATAGGAAAACAACCATGGGAGGAGACAAGATGAGCAATGGCCTAATTAAATCAGCATGTGATTGCACAGCTGGATCTTTTTGGAACTTGTAAACCTGCTACACATTTGGCCAACAAAAGGTTGTACTGATTACTTTCATTAATCCTCGTAGTTATAAGATGAACACGAGGCATATAATTATCATGTAAGTGTTTGCATGATTTGCCTCTTTCTGTCTCCAGAAATGGTGCCAATACTATGACAAAAAACTTTTCTATTGATATTATTTGATTGTAGATGCATCAACTTCAAGAAGCCTACTTTATTTGTTCAGTTGTTTAGTTAGTCTCTGTCATGTAATAGGTGGCCAGGTAAGGCTGTCTCCTCCATAAAGGCTTAAATACATCAACTACTAGAATACATAATATTTAGATAATTGAAATGTAAATAATGACAGAATAATGGGAATATTTTAAGGTGTCAAGATCTCAGAGGGGCTAGTAGATCAACTATAAAATTCAAAATGCAGTTGTACACGTATGGGATTTTTTTCTTTTGGATTTGGTTGGCTAGGGGTTGGAAGCATATCTGTATAAGCTCCTGGACTAGATGTAATGCTTCCAATAAATGGTGGGAAAAACTAATTAATATATGTTGGTACATTCATATCCTGCTATTTTCCTTGGCTCCATCCAGAAGATTACAGCTAAGAACTCCTCCTTCTTGACTTGGTTAAAGATGCCCGAGATATGGCTATGATGTTCATCCTTTTAATTAGTCCAGTGGTAGGTGGCTTCTTCAGGGTGCTTCACTCAAAGGGCAATTTTTAATTAAATAAATAATTGATACACGAGTGTATTGGAAATAAAAATATTTAATTTTGTGCATCTATGTATGGCTGGTTATGCTGTGCTTGTTTAATGTTTACTAAATTATTGACTGCATGGTTATTTTCCTACACAACTCACCCTCTGGGGCAAAGAGAAGGAAGTTTTACATTCTTTACTAACAAACTTTTATAAGGTACAATCCATGAGTTTCATATTCTTTCCGAGATATCTTATTTTACAAGTATGCAGGGGAAGGAACCCATAAGAATGCAGATTGAATCAGATGGGGAGAATATATTCAGGAGAGAGCTCCTCAATCTAATCAGGCACATAAATGCTCCTTCTAATTCATCCTTAAAACTCTCAAGGTGACCATTGAAGGATTCCAGCCTAGTTTCAAAGTTAATGTTGTTGCGGAAGCCAAATGTATATAGTGTGAATAAGTCACAATTACTATATCAAAAATTATGACAGCCACCAAATAATAAATAAGACAATTAAGCAACAATAAAGGGAACACCAGAATTTACGAGATTCGGCTAATTTTGCCTACTCCTCGGACACAACCAATATTTTATTTCACTCCAAAAATACAAGTGAAATAATACTAAAGAGAGAAGATACAAATGCCTTAAACAGATGAGAAGGCAAATGAGAGGTGTGTTTAAATCCTAAACATTAGGCCTTCTTTTATAGGGGGAAAATCCCCCCAACTTTTGTTTTCCCACCGATGTGGGACAAACATTTTGCCAATTTCAACAAATCTCCACCTTGGCAAAATTCCACATCTTCAATTTTCTCTCAATAACAAATTTTGGTTGTGTCTTCATCTTCAATCTTCAGTGTTCAATAATGTTGATCAAATCCAAACAATGTTGAAACTTGACCGCATTCACGACCTTTGTCAGCATATCAGCAGGATTCTCTGTAGTATGAATTTTCTTCACCGTGACTC